GCATTCGTCTGCCTCGGAGAGATCCCCGCCTTTCCTGAGGGTCTCGAGCAAATTTTTTTCTGTGTTTCAGGTTGCAGAAATGCCAGGTTTTTCTGAACAACAAATACAGCTAACTAAACCTACCTGTTTTGTGACAGATAAGGAGTGGGGGGGAATCTCTTTATGTTTTCTTTTCCTCTAACTTAATTTGCTGTTGCTTTATTGAGTATTGGATTTTGGTTTATATAAAGGTAAACAATGTTATCACACAAATCTTAATCTTACAGTTGCAGCCTCACTTGAATTACTTGATGATTAGGCTCTAGGCATAACACTCATCTCATTCAGTTATACTTTCATTATCATCAGATTCATTAATTTCATCCTCTGTGTGCTAAAACATTGCATGGTTAAAGGCAACATTTAGCAATATTCAGAATATTGGCAAGGTTTCCCATTCTCTGCTGAAGAGTTTGTAAAAGCAATATTACACCAAGAGGATCAAGAAGTTAATTTTTCCTTTAAATCCCTGATGCACTGAAGTAACAGTTAAATTAAAAAATATTATTACTTAATTATTTGTCATTTCAGTGCATGCTGAGCATAGTGAATGGCCTTGAGGTAAACACCTGAGGGGCTTTGCCAGGGCATGGCTGGGCGAGCATCCTCCTGCTAAATGCAGAGGGGCACGGCCAGAGAGGCTGGGATTTGATGCTGGAGAGGACGCTTGGCCGCTGGGGTAAGAGTTTCGCTTGCTGAATCCCTACCTGTCAGCAGCCGAGTTTGCTAATCCTCCTATTATCTAGGGCTTGGTAAGCAGACTTGTCTTTCTTTATTCCATAGTTGTTCTTGGCCGTGCCTTACACCACCAGGCTGTACATAATTCCTCTACATTCCAATTCCATTATTACTGTTTTAAATAAACCCCGTTGGAAGGAGGCTGAGAGATCATTCCGTCAACACAGCAGGGAAGTGAAGGATGGAAACCAGCCATCGAGGTTACAAGCTTGAGAGAAACTGTCTCTAAGCGACACAGCTGATGAATCCAGACACAGCAAAGCCATCACATCAAGTTTGGCATAGTCTTTCCAAGCCTCCCAGGGTAAGCTTATAAAATTATTGTTCATTATAACGATGATAGAGTAAAATGGGGTGTCATACCATTTACCTTTAAACATGTCAAATAGTACCTGCTTGCAGTTTTGACAAGATTCCCGCACCTTCCCACAACGAGGGTAAAGCCCTTCCGGTGCTAAATGTGCCCTTCAAGAATTATAAGGGGCAGATATGTAAAAATGAATAGTCTAAACCTACTCCTGTATCAGCTTATAAAGGCTTTCATACAGCACCATCAGAACAAAAAAGGTACTAAATGAACATGACGTATTATCAAACCAGTTCACAGCATTACAGAACACTTCTGTTCTCCTTAGTGGTCAAAGAGTACAAGTATACAACTTACAAAAATAGCTGTACATGTTCCAGCTAGAGGCACCGTGACCAGGACAGCTAAGGTACCAAGCACAGAGATTTTTTTTTTTTCCCTGGATCACTAAATTAAATTTTCTGTTATAAACACAGTATTTTACCTTCTTAGTAAATCAACATCTTTGGCAACACGTAGACATCGATGCAACACCACTTGTAGGTGAGAAGAGACACAGCTGCCAGCAAGTAAACCACAGAAATATTCCCCTGACATACTGAATATATTGGGTAAAAGAAAGGAATTAAGTAGGTACACAGGCAAATATATGTAGGCCAATTTAATAGAGGCCTTCGAACTCAAGTGCTAACATTTGTACAGCTTATGCTCTGCACATCTCTTGTGTACTTTTAGGCTACAGACAGCCTCATTCAACAGGACAAATATGACTTGCATTAGAAGAGCAGGTGAAGTATTTCTCTGGCCTGTCCTCCAGGGCTGGAGCCCAGATACAGGATGGAAAGTGGAACCCAAAATATATTTAATGAAGGAGATTTAAAGTTACTATTTTAAGCTTCTAATACCTGTTTTAGAGAAGATTATTCAAAAACATTTATTTCTGCAGAAAACAGAGCCCCTCAACATAGCAAGGATTCAGCAATTCAGAGATGCCTCAGCACTGGGGCTACGGTGTTTTCCCTCTATATCCCTTTAGAAAGCCAACCTCAGACATTTGCAAGGTTGCAAACGAGTACTTTTTCAGTGTCTTTTGGAGATTTCTCACAGCTGGTTGGGGATGATATTAAACTGAGTTAGGGAGGAGTGAGCTGTGCTGATGCGCATGAGAGTCCTCAGCTCCACAGCAAGGCACCCCTCCAGGCACCATTCCATACCGGGCACGACTCCTCCGGGGAATTTGTCTTTTCTTTAAAAAAAAAATAAAGAGAAAAACCCCTAACTCCTCAGTTGTTTACAAATTTGCAGTTCCATGGAGAGCTTGCGAAGCCTCCTGCTGTCTTTGCACTGCCTTTATCTGGGCTTTGGACCAGCTCTTAATGACACTTGTGAGTGACTGATGGCAGACTGGCACTGCTACAGCAGGGACATGAACACGAGTTTGGCTACAGACTTCATGTGTGCAGACCATGCCCTACAAATTAAATTAAGATATATTGAAGCCGCTGACCACTTAGGGACCATGAAAATGTCGGTTAATTAAAGCTGGATTTACCAAAGGTTATGAGACAAATTGTCATCTGTTAGTCTGTCAGAACCTGAAACTGAAATGCCCTGAACAGTTTAGGGGGTATTTTAAGGTGACCAGACAACAGAGCAAGTTACCTTTTTTTCCCACATTGACTTGCCTATGTAAAGCTGCTTGCCGTCCACAAAAGAAAAAAAGGGGCTTGAGAAAGTCGGTAACTCCCTCAAGAGGCCACAATGAGACCAGGTTCCACTAATAATCCCATCCATAAATCATGAGATTTTGGGGATCAACTGTAGCTTCACAAGATTAAAAATGTCAAGGAAAAATATTATACTTGGAAGGGCTCAATTAGTTCGAAAACTATGTAATGGTGAAACTTGATTTTACCTGTTGCTTTTACATTTACTTGGGGTCAAATCCAGACAATCTCTTATTAAAAGCAACAGGCCAACTGAAGAAGAAAGGTATTTTCTAGGGAGAGCAAAATTAGAGCAGTCTGGCCCCAATTTGTTTAAGTGGCATTTATAAAACAAGTTAACTGCAAAAAGATACAGATTTCAGAACCAAAAACCTTCTCTTTAACAGCCACGTTAAGAACCGGTGGTGTATGCATGTCTCATCTTCTCATCTCACATATCTTTTCAAAAAAACTAATTAAAAACATGGCATGGTGTCAAGCTTTTGTGTAAGTCTAAATCTCATCTCCATAAACTAATAGAAGCTTTTCTGGTTCATCAACAAGCCAGTGACAGCACAGGCAATCAGTCCCTTCCTAAGCAATGCCTGCTTCAGTGTTATGATAGAAAAGTGAGATGCTAATAACCTCTTGGGCCTTATTTCTTGAGTTTATATTTTAAAAATATATATATATCAGGCAAGGCAGGAGGCAGATTGAAACAAATAAGGGGCTCTAATTTCAGCCAAGAGTAACTATTTGCCCTGCAACCACCTGTACATGCTCAACAAGATCATACTCTTTGACCTCCAGAAATTTCTAAATTTTATGTACAGAACTGAGCATTTTTTCGGTAATATCAGAGACTCAAATTTTAAATTACATTTCTATTAGATTTGAATCAGAGAACTCAGCAGCTGGAGAGCATCCATCTCGCTCTTCCTCTAATGGGATCTCCAAATCGCTCACTTTTTCCAAAAGGCAGTTTCCTTCGGTTTAAAGTTTGAACCAAGCACTTCAAGCATAGGGTGTCCGATTGCTAACAAGACTTTTGGGCAGTGCTGATGGGGCAAACTTCAGTTTCTACCAGAATAAAAGGGGACTCCAAGAAGGCCTTGTAGCAGTACAGTAGCCAGACAACCAAGAAACCCCATGCGAATGAAGACCTAATCTACTAAACGCTGAACTAACACATCTCTGTGGGGCAGCAAACAGCCGGAAAAAAGAGTTGGGAAAGTCACTGTGGCCGAGTCATCATGCCCTGGTGCAAATCCCAGTTTCACCAATTACTGTGCTTCATGATCCCTTTCCTCAGCTTTCCCAGCGCATGTTTGACAAAAAGTTCTATCTAGAAAAGCAAACAATGTTTTATATATATAAATTTTATATATATTATATATATATATACACACTAGCTATATGCGTGGTACAGCTTTGTGTGGATAAAATACATGACAGGAGGAGGTTGCCCCCCAAAATCTGTCCAGACCAGCAGGTTCCTTGCGGGTCCATGTGACTGAGGTTTCCCACTGCCTGCACCTTTTTCCCCGTGAGCAGAGTCCCGTGTGACTGCCTGGCACCTATCGCGTGCCCAGCATGCCTCTAGGACTTAAGAAAATGAATGTAATTGAAATAATTCCTTCATTTATTCATCCAGATACACAAGCAGTGGATCACAGCAGGCGTGCAGGAGACCCAGTTTTTAACTATTTGAAGAATCAAAAAGCAAGAGGGGTGAAAGACCACCCATAAAATAGGCTGTGCAGCATCCCACGCTGATCTGGCTCCTCTGGTTCTCCTCCCCTCCTCGTGCACACATCACACCTCAGGGGCCTTTCAGAGACACAAATCAGCAGAAAGTTAACCTCTTTTCTGGACAGATGGGAAGAGTTGGGGACAAGAAGAGGCCGAGACCAGCTGTTAGTTTGGCTCAGGTTGCCACAAAGCATGGATCCAAGATCTTGGACCACACAGCATTGAAGCCAACCTAAACCTGCACTGCTCCCAAAAAGAAGCCGTCCAGTCCTTACTCCCAATTTCTCATTTACCACCCAGGTAGCCCTTCCTTGCCCCAGCACCAGCTTTCACAGAGCGACATGGCAGGGGTGAGATCTGATCACTTTTATCTCATGGTGCTTTTTTCTAAGCTCATTTCCAGATGGGCTCTTTCGCATTTTGCTGCGTGGGCAAATTTTTTTCCAGCGCTCTGTGTCATGGATCACCCACCACCGCTGGGTGTCCGGGTCCTCATCACTTGCACCCAAGGAACAGCACAAGCGTTGGCAGGACTCAGTCCTGTATGCAAGAGGCAAAAGGCCAAATGTCTCCCAGGCATCCTTGGCATGCCCCAGCTGGAGAGGCAGCCTCCATCTCCCTCTTATTTTCCATCAGTGAGGGATAACTTCTGCTTTGGTGGGTTTTTTTGGGGGGATAACAATTAGCAGAGAATCAAATTGTGAAGTGGGGAAAATGACACCCCTAAGTTCACGGGTAGTCAATATTAGCTTAATTAAGGCTACAACCCCACAGTGCACAGGTTTTGCCCCTAAGACCAATTTAAAGGCTCCCCCCTCCCATCAGCTGTGGCTCAGCTCACTGCCCCCTCAAGTGCCTCACACTAGAAAAGAGACGACGAACCACGTGGATTAAAAAAAATACCCCTTAAAAACTCCTGCTTCCTGTCCACAAGTTATTTGTAACACGTCATCACATGAGGGGCTCAGATACGATGAAGCTGGAAAACAGAGTAGGAAAGATTTGTATTACAGTACTTTTGTTCCCAACCAATATGCAAAATATAGCACAGGTGCCTGTATTATGAAGTTGCACTGCTTGAGAATATTCTTTTTTTTCCCCAAAAATACTATTTTGAGGAAGATACCCTGCATTGCAAATGGCTCTTGCTAGCCAGGCTTGCACTCATTTATTTGGCTGTGCTGACCCCCACAGTCCAGCGCCCTGTACGGCACATCCTAATGCCGAAACCCATCGGGTCGCTAACGCGCTTTCTGCCCGCCGCTGCTGATGCAAAGAGGTTTTGCTGAAGTGATTGCTCCCGCAGGCTGGGGATGATTGCACCCTGACAGCGTGAGAGAAAACAGACATTTACCACGCATCAACTCAAATTGCTGCATGCACGAGAAACTGCAGAATTAACTAGATAAGGAAAAAGAAAAAATACACAAGGCGTTACAATAAAAGCACGCAGAGAAACTCAATGGGGAAGCTGTCTGATTACATCTACTATCTCCAGCCACACATCTGGCAAAACCTAAATTATCACTAGATAAGCACCAGCTGTGGCAGAAGGGAATCCTTCCTTTCTGCTTTTTGAGTCAGGAGGAAGCTGATGCTATTTTCTATTGCACATTTTTAGGACTTTATTTCCGTTTTTCTGAAATAATTGCTCACCATATTAATAACTATCAAACATACTAATCAATCATTATTAAACACACAGAAAACAGAGATGGTTAATTTTGGTTAATTATTCTTAGGTGATTGCTGCATAAGAGAAATTATTGTTTAGAACACAGTTGCAATGTTAAAAACCGCTGCGATGGAGACCAAAACTACTCCAGCCCAGGAGGACTCCGAAAGCTAAGTGACCCCTCTCTTTTTTATTGAGAAAAACAGTTTCTCAATTTCAGAACTCAAGACAATAAAGCATATACATTAAAGCTCAAAAGCCCCCAGCGGCAAACGTGATTATGAGCCCCATGAACACAGGCAGAGAAAAGGACACACTCCGTGTGGTTCCCATGTGAACGCCACCAAGGCAGCACACCTCACTGCAGCACCAGTTGGCGGAGCCAGCAAGGGACGCCCCGAGGAGCACTGTATCTATCTGCAAGACAGTGACCTCCTCATCCCACAGTGCTGTCTTCTCCCATCATGTCCTTTCTAGCAATGGTTCACCTTGATTCCCTTTTGCTGCCAAATGCACTGCAGAGCCCTTTTCGGGCTGCCTGGAACAACGTGCTGCAGAGATACAGCAAATCCAGCTGGCAGCGTGGGGCTCCCTGCTCCTCTACCAGGGCTCCCACTTGCTGGTGTCCCTGCCAGGCTTCATCTACCGGTTCATCCCAGCCATGAGGAAATACAAGATTCAGCCTGTAAGCAGGGACAAAAGAAGTGGGACAGATGTGTATAGACCCCTATAAAAATGAAAAACAAACAAACAAACAAAAAAAAAAAGCAGATGGGAACGTTCCTACCCAGGTAGTCACAGAATGGGGTTAGATATCTATTCCACCTACAAAGAGGCTAGATGTTTTTTGGGGGACCTGTGCTCATTCTGACTCCCGGTGAGTTTGCACAGGCTGTCGGTTTACTTTATTTTGTAGAGAAGGGGGAAGCTAAAGTGATCTAATCCCTCTGCATCTCTTAATCTTTGAGTTTAACAGGTCTAGCTCTTCATATTGTTCAGGAAAGAAATGTTGATTTGGGGCCCGCTTTGTGAAGTGCCAAACAAAAACCAAAAAAACCCGCTATGGCTCCAAATATAGAGCTTGTAAATCAACTATTCCCCTAAATGAAAACAATTCTGTCAAACTAACACATTTGCATTTTTTGCTTTGGGTTTTTCTGTTTTGTTTTAATTCACTCCCCCTCCCCCCCCCCCCCCCCCCCTTTGGTTTTCCCCCCCCCCTCTTGGTTGTCTTAGGACAAGCCTGAAACTTGGGAAGAGCAATGGAAGCGTGTCAAGATCTCACTGACAAGGAACCCCACTTCCCTTCTGCCAGCATTCATTTTAGGCTACTCTTATTCAGAGCACTTCGACATCCCTTACGACTGGGACTCCGTGTCTCCATGGTATCGCATACTCCTTAAAACTTCGAGACTATCAGAGACAAAGATGGGCAAAATCACCTGCTTTACTCCCCTGCAAAGTTATTAGCCACAATTAACATTTCTGTCTCTCTCCCTTTTCTGATAGGTATTCTGTTACTGCTCAATGCTTGGGCTGCTTTATAATTGAAGATACATGGATGTGCGTCACGCACAGATGAATGCATCGCAAGACCTTCTACCCATATTTACATAAACTTCATCACGAATTTAAGGTGCAATCATAATAAACTGGCAATTAACGGTAGATGGCATTCCAGAGTGCAGGTGAACTGTGAATGGGCAATTACGTGTCTCATTCTTTGGGAACGGAGTGAAAATTGATATTTCATGAAGTAACTTATTTACTAAAAATCAAATGAGCCATTACTCAGTAATGTTCATACTCTGGGGAGCAGGGAGGGGAGAAGCAGTGAAAACAATCTTCAAATCAGTCAAGATGCTTGAAACAAAATAAGATGATGTGGGAAGAGCCGGGCTCCATGAAAACCACCGCCTTAGCTCTAGTGCTTTACCAAGCCTTCTCTCACCCTTGATGTATTTAGACATCAATGACGTGATCTTTTTACTCAAAATTTGCAAAGGACTAAGCATTAACATCAGGAAAGCAAGAAAGCAGAGTACTGGGTGCCAGGACTGTTTCCTATCCAGTGCTCCCCACATACACTAACCAGACGCATGCCTTGCGGACACTACTTGCTACGCATTCCCTATGTATCACCCTGGGAGAGTACCTCATCACAGGAACAGGCATCTTCACTGCAACACATATTTTCTGCAGACGCTTATTCACGGCATGGGTTTGGTTTGCAGCACTTCTACTGAAAACTATGGATGCACACAGGTAAATAATCACGGAAAAATCTGCCAGACTGGAAACTTTAAAAAAAAAACTTTTAAAACTGTCTTGACTCTGTACATTTTAGGGGGGAAAAAAGTATTTTGTCATTTGTTAGCATCAGATTCTTGCCTTGTGCCTTCTCCTTTGATCTAGGAACGAACTGAAGTGTCTTTCCCTTGCACATAGCACTAAAAAGACCGTACAGTTCCCCTTACCCAAATCTAGGTCTCCTCGTGGATGACGGTTTAAGGCTTGTTTTCTGTGCAAGTTTAAAAGTTAAAAAAGTACGTAGGTATATTAAAGCTCAATGCCACCTTCAGTCTAGGGGAAAAAAAAAAACAAACCAAACTGAAGTTTGTCTTTAGGTAAGAGGCATTTTTCACAACCCAGGTGGGAATTATCTTCCCTCTCCTCCCTGCACAAATGAATGGCAACCTGATAAATCTCTTCTAATCTCTATCTATTCTCCTGCAAAGATAGGATCTTCGTTCTTGGCTGTGCTTCCCAACCTCCACTTTTTTCTGTACCACCTTTTAGACTGACATTCATCTCTTCAGTCACTGCTGTGGCTCAGGGGTCTGTGAACAGAGACGCCACCCCTGAATCCCCCTCTGCCAGCAGCGTACCGGACACCCAGTTGGAGCCGCAACGTGCTCCCCAGCTGCAGGGCTGGTTGTCTTTGACACCGTGTGCCCGGAGGGAACAAAGGGAAAGTGCTGAAGCAGGAAAAAAAAAAAGAAAAAGAGTAATAATAAATAGCATCCTGGAAATGAACCAGAAGAGCGATATCGCTTGATGTATCATTCAGGACCACGTACTACCCAGAAACCCTGCATCAGCGAACAGGCTGCTATAGCACCGGTACGTCACCCATGCTGGTGATGGGAGCCATGCCCGATGGGAGCCAGGACCAAGACACCCCCCTGCAAACGAGCTGGAGCCCCTCAGCAGCAGTGCCTCGGTGTGTCCCACCACCAGCAAGATTACAGAATGGAGCCCTACATTCCTTCATTCAGCACCAGAGGCTGCAATATTTTGCCATAAACAAGTGTGTTAAACACTGGAACTAGTTAAATGTAAAAGAGCTATTCAGGAAAATATCCAGCTCCAAGGACAGGTTAAGCAAAAAGTCTGTGGTGCTATGTACTCAATGCATCATCTCCTTGTAAGAAAACACCCTCTACACTTAAGGGAGGGATCCCAGCACTTTTTCTTCTTCCTGCGTAAGTTATTAGAGGTGTAGAGAGAAGGGACAAAAGAGAAAAACACTAGACTTCACGGTGACCTTGCACAAATACCACCACCACCTGCAAAATGCCTGACACTAGGCTCATTTGCAGCAAAAAGGGCTTGCATCCATCTCTATCCAAGCAACAAGCCACCTGTACAACACGCATAACCCAGTGGTAAGAGCATCCACCCCTTTTGTACATACCATTTCTCCTGCAGCTTCATCCTCACTTAACATGCCCTCTCCTCTGGCCACAGGGGGTACAACGTCCCTTGGAACCCGCTCCCATACATTCCCTTCAAGCTCGACGCTGCTTTCCGTGACTTCCACCACAGCAACTTTCACAGAAACTTGTCTTCAGCAGGTGGGACAAGTTATTTGGGACAGGCAAGGAGCATAAGGCATTTCTTGCAAAGAAAAAGCAGAAGGAAATCCAGAAAAGTGATTAAACTTCCACTGCGCAGAGAGGCCGGGGGAAGAGTGGAGGGATGTATGCGAGCGAAGCTGTCAACACCTGCAGCTTGAACCAATTGATCACAATTAAGGTTTAAGTCATCAAGCAGGTGTTCCTGTTTTACATAATTTGCATCCACCTGGTTTCCCACTTTTTTTTTTTTTTTTTTTTTTGGTAGCTCCCTAACAAAGCAACTGCAGTCACTGCTTGTTCCCAATAACCACCAGGATCAATTTTAACAATTGAACCTTTCTAACAGTTAAATTACTGATGCTCCAAGCCTCAGTCTTCGCATCATGCTGAGTGACTCAGTTCACAGTGATTATGTGATCATTTGCTCTTGTAATTTGTGTCAATCTGTATATTTATAAACATTGGGTTTAACTAAGAATATAAAAATAACAGTTTAATTTCTTGTTAGATGAGCCAAACTATTCCAAATATCTCACATGCTTTAAAAAAGAAGGATGTTTTATATTCAAGCTATAGCTATTAAAAACAACATATATAACTAGTAACCGGACTAATTTTTGAGACATACCAGTTCTTTAAGACATGCAGTCCACAAGTCCATTCACACTCTGGTAAGCCACAGGCCTTTTAAACCTCCCTTTGCTTTTGCTCCGTCCATTGGGTTAAGCCTGGACCACGGTGCACCATGGCAGATACAGGCTAAGCCACGGCCTGCAGCCTCTGCTCTTTGCAAAGCCTGATCTAAGGGGGGGTTTAAGAACCACGGAGGAGAAGACAAAGCAAGTGAGCCATGAACCACGGATCTCACAGGACTCTGTTGACTGACGGGTGTTTTGGGGGGATGTAGTCAGACTGGAGGATAAAGGGAGAAGAAGCACTCAGAGTCACAGCCAGCAAGTGGTTTCCTACCATCAGGTTGGGTGGTAGAGATAGGTCCTAAAATCTTAGAAACTCATTTAGTGTAAGAGCCCTCAGCCATTTAAGCCCTTAAAGCTAGTCTGAACTTGGAAAGTCAATTTAGACAAAATCTAGCACTCCTGGAATGATTTTATCATGGTCACCTTTCTAGGTAACCACAAATTAAGTGTCCCAGGCTGTTTTCCATTAGTCTACAAATTAGGGGCAACTTAGCAACAGCATTTTTTCCACTGACTAACTAAGGTCTGTTATCACTTCAGGTCTGTGCAGCTGCCTTGGGGATTTCTGGGCACTGGGTCAAAGCTCCAACGCTCTGGCACATGACGCGTGCCCTGGGATGCAACAGCTACAGCAAAGCACTAGAGCACATGTGATTACATACTTCATATATATTATTGCATCTAAAACTAAACCAGTAACATGCGAATTGATAGTTCATTAAACTTTCCTTACACAGATAAGAAATATTATCCAATTCTGAAATAAATTAGAGCTGTCTGGAAGACTGTAGCTCTATAAAAACTGTAGTTTCCATCAGAGAAAATTCTGTCATGAAAAAAAAGCCACCAAAACCCAGACTAACTTGGCAAGGGTTCCAGCCCAGGCGGAGGAGGGGCTGCATGCAATGTTTCGCAGTCATTAAGACCTGAACTCTAATTTGGCTCAGGTGCCCGTAGCTCCAGCTGGAAGGGCGGCTCGCTGAGCTCCCCCAACACATCATCAAGGTGACTTTGCAAAGCTGGAAGCTCCGTGCCATTCGCAGCAGAGCTGTGTGCTATTTTACAATACATACAGTAGGCAAAATGTTTCGGGTAGGAAAGTTGCAGGGAGGCAGAATGGGGCACCAGGAAGAGATTTGGTTGTGAGTAAAGCATAAAGTAAACCAAAACTTTCTGTCTGCGTGTCTCAGATCCATGCGACTTTCCCTGCTCCTCTGGCAGGAAAACAGAGCCCAGTAATTTCTTTAGGTAGATTCAGGAAAGCTGAGCTGTGGGGGACAAAATGCAGGGCAGAAAGAGATGCTACTTCCTAGGGAAAAAAAGGAAAGAAGAAACCAGTGTATGTACCCTGTTGTAATGCAATTAAAAATGTCTTATGAACCGGTGCAGTTTTTCTGATGTTGCCTGCACAGGTCTGGCAGCTGGGACTCACCAGCAGAAATGGCTTGTGCTTAAAAATCCTTAATAAATATCAAATAAAGTCCTAGGGTTCATTTCTGTTCCAACACGACTCTGACTTCAAGCACATGATTAAAATTATACGTCAGCATTCGTCCAGTGGGACAAACTCACTATTGGGTGAGAGATAACATTGTAGAAAGAGTATAATGTAAAGAATTATGAGAAGGACATTCAAAAATAACATTTAAACCTCTTATGCTTTAGAGAAGAACAACAGATCCTTTGGGACAGGCATTGTGCATCCTTTAAAGGGTCCCTTTAGAAGTTTTGTTGATTGAAAAAAGAGACTCTAACATTTTAAGACCTGTAATTTACCGAGCAATATGCTTAGCAGAGTCTGCGGAGGTTCACAATGAAAGAAAGGAGAGGAGAAGGCTCATGATAATATAGTTTGTAAATCGGGGCCAAATCAAATGCATTGAGCTTCAGCAGCTGTGCCAATTAAATCTCATTCAATTTGCTGAACAAGAACATTAACATTAATCACTTTGGCAAATTTCTTAGAATATTTCATGTCACTAAGTAGTTAAGTGATTTTGTGCTTGTTTACAGTGCAGAATGACATTATGTGAAACAATATCATTAGTCACCGAGCAACTGCGGGATGCTCTAGGAACCCCTGTGTGGTTCGTGGCAACGTTTCTGTAGTGGCCCTGTACCTCCTACGAGCTATTTTTTTACAGAAGTGTCCAACAGATATTTTTTTTTTAATTGCAATTACTCTTTGCCATCAACACAGCACCCTCATCACAGCACAGCAAAAAAAAAAGCCGCCAGCCAGGGGAGAAGCAATTTTGCCTTCTGAAGCCACCACATCCATGTCCCATCTCCAGGCCACGTCATCATTGCTTGGAAAAAGGAGGTTCTGTGCAAACTTCCCACTACAGTTGAGGGCACAGGGATGCAGGGAATCCCTCTTTGGCCATATTTATTCATTTGGGTCTACAATTAAATAGGTACATCTTTTATCAGATGTTTGCAATTTCCATAGCTGAGGTTGTTTTCTGCCCTACCTTTGATTTTGTTTCCGGGTGACTCATGTACCAAATTACACAGTATTGCTGTGGCAGAAGAGGCATGTCTCATCCTGGGTTATTTCAAAATGCCTGCTACCCAGCAACAGAAAGGGGAGCTGTTTTTCTCAGCTTGGCAACAGCAACCCAGGCCGGGGCACCCAGCCTGAGAAACGCGTGGGTGCAAGGGAGTCTGCAGGAGAACAACAGGAGCGAGCATCACCTCCGAGAAGTACAAGGGATCAGCTCGCTTATTAGAGAGAGAAGCATAGCAAGTGTCTTTCAGCAGATAAAAGTCTCAACACCACCACATCTCACAACGTCAGTGATGCTCCCTGGAAACAGCTCTCCTGCAAGCCAGGAGCACGAGAGCTGCGCGGTGTAGCAGCAGAGACGAGATGGGACCCAAACTTACTGGGCTCAGCTTAAACATGAATAAAAAGGGGCCAACTGTGCAGGAGACAAGTAATTTTGAAATAAAATACAGAACAGTTGCAAAGTCCCCCAGCTGCACAGAGCAACCCACAAGACATCATTACCTGTGTTCATCAGGCAATTAATTTTCAGGATCCCACACGGCAAATTTGACGTCATGCATTAACAGATGAGGCACGAGGAGCATTTCTAGAAAACCAGAGGGCTCAGTGAGACGTATCGCAAGCATAAGACAAAATGAGTTGTGCTACCTGTTAAACGTGTTGATCTTTGCAGTGGTGTAGGAAATGTGTTACTTTATGGTGTTATTAAGACATATCGAGCCCATGGGTGTAAACTCTCCTTTTCTTCCCAATCGCATTCACTAAAAGGTCCTGTCTTCTGCCATCAATGCCCCTACCCAAGGGCTTTCCCACCCCCAAGAGAAACGCTCTTGTCCTGCACCCCAGCAGCCAAACGGCCTTGAACTTCCCTTGGAAAAGGAGCAGCGCAGACCCCAGGAGAGCATCAGAGCGTCAGGGCAGCATCTCCTCCAGCATTTGGACCTCTCAGCATCGACACGCGCGAGTACCGCTGCCCCACTGCAAAGGACACAAAGTAAACCCAGGGTTTGTATGTGCTGTAATTAAAGAGGGTGAAAAAAAGATGTGTGGAGTGATGAGATTGTTCCTCAGTGTCAGAAGCCGATGAAATCAAAATAGACGCAGAAGAGTTTCATTAGTCCAGTTTTTATTCAAATTAAAGGATGGGGAACTACAACGTGATTTTCTTTTATAATATAAATATGCCAGTGAAGAATGTTTCTTGAGTCCTTCATTGCACTGGACAAGACAGCTGTTGAGAGAATTACTTTGCGAAGTCCTTGGTCCTTCACACTCATGCAAAAAATCTTTAATTAAAAAAATTAGCTTAAACAGTCAACCGACTCATTACGTTATACTGTCAGCTACTGAACCAACAAAGTCTGTTTTACAAAAACAAAGAATTTCACACCCAGGTAAATTATTTCACAATCATCCATTTTTCTTAAAGGGTTTTTTTAATACATAAAATATACAAATTAAAATTCTCAATATTTATTTATTGTCACTGTAGAGGAAAATAATTTATAAACCTATAAACAAAGATAAGGGCAGAGGAAAAAAGTAAATTCACTCATTTGCAGACTACAATGTCAAACACACTCCCAGATGCTGCAGCTTTGAGCAACAAATCATGCTCATGTGAATGTGATTAGTGGGCGTGATGTTAAGCCAAGGGGGCAACTGCTTTGATACTACATTTTATTAGTAACAAGTCCCAAAGGTTAAAAAACAAGCTGCATCTATCTGTTGAACCATCAGGTTAGCTTGATGAATAGGCATCACACTTCGCTGGATATTAAGGATTTTGGTCTCCAAACACTGCAAATGAGAGAACAGTATTAAGCTTTCATGGTGGTGTTATGCAAATGCTGCCAAGTATATTTACGGTAA